GTTTCCCTTCAATCCTTGGCTCCCCTCCTTTCTGGCTTCCACTTGCCAAGGACTCCCCATCCACTAAGACCCGGCAATGCCCACTCGAGCCCTCCCACACACACTTTGAAGCCCTGCCCATGGCTGCATCAGATCCTTCTCACTGAAGCCACGTGCTCAAAGCCCACCCCCAGCCAGCAGCGGACCCACGTAGGCTCCTCCCACCATGCTGGATCAAGCTCCCCGCCTAAAGGCTCTGCCTTCAGGGGCCGGGTCTACTCACGATAGCATCCTTGGCGCCAGTAGTGCGTGGGAAGGCATTCGTCGCACTTGGGCCCCACCGCGCCCTCCCTGCACTCGCAGAAGCCTGTCTCATTGCAGCGATCGTGCATGGAGCTGATCTGGTTACAGTTACATTCTGGGGGGAGCAAGAGCATAGGGCATGTGCAGTCAGAGTGGCCTGGGAACACCTACAAATGGATTCTGCCAGGCCCAGCCTCTATAACCCGCTGTATCCTTCTCAGCTGGGTCTCTTGTGCTCCCTGGCAATGCTCCACACGGGACTGCTGGCGCATTCACATGGCAAGAGAAGGCTCTGTATAGTTTTTCCTCCTCTGTCATCCAACACTCTTTTTCTAGTTCCACTGTGAAGGCTGAGCCAGCCCCATCCCTCTTTCTGAACAGCTGAAGGGGACTACCAATACCAAATGTAACAGGTGACAAGTGTCTGACCAGGAGACTACAGTGTGTGTGTGTGTGTCCTTGGCCCCTAGTCCTTGAAGCCCAGTGCTTGGCCTCAGATGGAGACACAGGCAGACAAGAAGGGGCACCTCTAATCAGACCCATTGGTCCCACCCTGTCCCTGAAGCTGGCCCTGTGTGACACTGGCAACACAATTCTGCTCGATCACTTTAGAGTTGATGGAATTATCTGAAGGCCTCAGCCATTATCCAGAGCGACAGCTCTAGCTTTGCAACTGATCAGGTGTGGGGCGGTGGGGATGAGGGGGGAGGAATGGTCAGTGGTTCTGCTGTGGGGGAGTGATTTCCGGGGTGTGTGTGATGGTCAGTGGTTCTGCTGACTGATGGCTAAGATCTGGCAGCCCACAGACCTGCCTGGTACCTGCTGCAGACACGCCAGAAGATAGTCAGTCCTGATTGCCTTTCTATGCTACCGGGTATCAGTTGGGGGCTATGGGTTTGGCTTTTAGGGTCTGTCCCCTGTCCAGGTCTAAGGAGTGCCATGGGGCTTCTCTACAGAAAAGCCAGTACTGGACCAGAACACTGAAGAAAGAGTGGGTGCCTATGAAGGCAGGCACAGCGCCACAGCTTTAGACGGCTGGCTCTCAAATTTTGAAGGACAGTTTCAGCAACAGAGGAGAGGTAGAAACTGCTCGTCTAGTCTACTGCCCAGCTTTCTATGAGCCCAGAGAGGTGAAGGGATAGGCCAACTTTGCACAGCAAATCTTTAGCTCTAACTAGCATCTCTGCTTCCTTTACAGTTGGGGGTCACTAGTAGTGGATCAGAGGGCTTCTGTCCCCTAGAGATGCCCAGATGGAGAGGGCCTCACCATGGGGTGTCCGCACTTCCTTCACAGCTGATTCTGCAGGGTTTGAGGCCCACCCCTGCACCTGGTGCTTACCAATGCAGACATTCTCATCATCCAACTCGGCAGAGCCATTGCGATAGTATCCCAGGCGGCAGTGCTGACAGTGCTGGCCTCGAGTGTTGTGTTTGCAGCTGACGCAGGTCACCACGTTCAGAAAGTCAATGTAGCTGCAGCGGTTGGAGTGGCCATAGCACTCGCAGTCTGGACCAGCCAAGTGGGAGAAACACCAGTGGTCAGTGAGCATTTGGGGGGGGGGAATAGGGATACAACCAAGAATATGCAGGGAAGGTGGCATCTTTAGGAGGAAGGTCTGGAAGGGGTTTCAGGTCAGGGGCACTTCTGTAGCATGTGGATAAGGCTCGCCCTGTCAGTTTGAGTCCCCAGGAGCCTGTGACAGACAGTCAGGGAGGCAGGGGCATGCTAACATCTAACTGGGTCTCAGGGCAAGGTACTGTCTGAAGGATGCCCACATGCTGGGGCTGATTAGGAGGGCAGGGTCATGCTGCAGACTGCATTTATGGAGGGCAGTGCAAAAGTTCCAGGCTTGCTCTAGTCCCCTCAAGGGCCTATGGATGAATGGAGTCATACACAGATGTGGACATGATGGGATGGAACAGAACCTTCCTCCCATGCTGCTTTGGAAGAGGGAAACTGGCTACTGTTTCTGCAAGTCCCTATAGGACCCTTCTTACTGGCCTGAATGTCCCACAAGTTTGGTTGGTACTGAATTGCTAGTTTTGGCAAGACTGGGCACCTATCTCCTGGCTTCCTCTGGTCTCCACCCAGCTTTTGAATCTCACTGTTGAGTTTAAACCAAAGCAAACCACCTCCGAGCCATTGTGGGACCTTGTACTCTCCCTCCCACAGGTGATTTTGGTGTTGTTTTAAGACAGGGTTTCAAGTAGCTCAGGCTGACCTGGGACTCAATAACTAGCTAAGAATGACCTTGAACTTTTGCTCTTCCTAACTCCACCTCCTAGAATTACAGTCATGCAAGTCCACACCCAGTCAATGCTATTGTATGTGAAAGCTGACTCTCTAAGCCACACCCAGTCAATGCTATTGTGCGTGAAAGCTGGTCACCCTCTGAGCAGCTGTCCCTGGAGGACTTCAGCCCCCTCTCTTGTGATGACCAGGGTCATCACTACTCTCTACATGGTCAACGGCACAGGAAACCCTGGAGAAACCTTTGCCATACATCTAGAAGAGCTGGTGGATCCCACATGGGTCTACCAGACCTGGTTCTTTACCCTCCAGAGACACCGGGAAACATCCTCCAAATGCCCCCAAAGAGCGTTGCCAGTGACCAGGGTGTCCCAGATTCCACCCCAACCAAGACAAGCCCCTGGGCCACACCTCCCAGGGGAGCCAGGACAGGCTATTTGTGGCAGCTGCTTCTCCTGCCATGTGCCTGCCCACTGTGCCTGAGTTGGCTTCTGACTCATCCCAGCTTTCAGCTCCCTTGGGGCTGGAGAGACTCAGCTTAACCTTGACCCAGCTATTCTGGGAGGATTTTCTGAGTTGGTATCAACTAGCTAGCTCTGTTACGCATTGTCTTTTCTCCAGTGAACTGGGGAGGAGGTGGGAGGCCTGACTCAGGCCATCTTCTTACCTTGAAATTCTTCAATGGGTATCACCTGAGGAGATCTGGGCTTGAGCTGGAAAAGTGTAGAGTCCTTGGCTTGGGAAGGGATGGCGACAGAGATAGCCACAGCTTAGAGAGATGAGAAACGAGTTCTTATACCTGCCACGGTCCAATCATCAGGGAAGCCATCTATGCCACCAGGGAGGCCATGCGTACCAAGGGAGAAGCTAGACCAAGGCTTTTGAGTGCCTTGGGCTGGCCCCAGGCAATCCTGTTACCTGTTCACATTTGAGGTAGGGAGAGACTACATAGCCCTCATGTGTAGAGTGTGGCTCTTCTCAGAGTCCCAGGCTGAAGCACCTTGTAGCCATGACAGCGGGTACCTACTGGTCCCCTGAAGACACTTACACATCTTCTGGAACAATCCCCAAGTACGTTCTCCATCTCCTAACACCCTCTCCCTGCTGCTAAGGCGTTTGCTGACACTGAGAGATATTTGGCTGTTTGAAAGCAAATGGCACCGTGCTTCTGCCCTTTCCCTCAAGTCTCCCCTGGTCATCAAATCCCCAGCCTCAACCTGGCAGTAAAGACTGCATCTTGGGGCTGGAGTTCTTCCAGAGGACATGGATTCAGTTCCCAGCACCTGTGTTCGCTCATAACTGCCTGTAACTCCAGTTCCAGTGTTCTTCTGACCTCCATGGGCACCAGGCACACATGTAGTCCACATACATATGTGCGAGCAAAACATACACATAAAATAAATATGTCAAATATATTTAAAACTGCATTTTCTTTCCTTCAGAGGACATTTTTCTGCTCTAGCTAGGATGGGTCCTTTGCTGTCCTTGCAAATGTCAACAAGCCAAGAATACAGTAGCACTATCCTTCCCTGCCTGGAATCCCAGCATCTTTGAAGGTAAGTACGCTATTATTATTGAGAAAACAGGCCCCATGCTTCCCTCCAGGACTCTATGGCTGTGGGGCCAGGGCAGGAGATGACTTGTGTATTCATCTCTAGAGAGGATGTGTTGATTGAGGAACCTCTAGGATGCTAAAAGAACTTCTGATCCCCCTCAGTTGTTCAGTCATTTGCCAGTAGAGGGCGCTCAAAGCCTGCCTCACTGCTCATTTGTTCCGGGGTGGGGGTGGGGGGGCGGTTGGAGGGGAGCTTGTGATGGTGGATGGGGTGGGGCGAGGACAATAGGACCAAGAGCAGGTCAACTGAGGGCATCTTAGGACAACCTTCCTTTCTGAAGAGTCAAGCTAGCCCAGGTACATTCACATGTATCTATAGCTACAGATGAGCCCCCTGTCTTGGGTGCTTCCCCACAGTGGAAGAATAATTAATTCTCTTGACCTGGTCTTGAGGGGCTTCTACATGGCTCACACCCTCACTTAACTGGTTAGGTGCCAAGTCTTTACCTCAGGCTTCCTCTGTCACCTTCATTTACTCATAGCCACGCCTATTCTGTGTCCATCTGACTCTCTCTGGGCCTCATCAGCTGCCTATGTATCCCACATGTGACCCGCATTGTGAGGAGGGAGAAGAGAGGTCCCTGTAATAAGGAACCCTGAAGCTTCTATAAACCCTGAAGCTCTCAGAGAAGGGTTAGAGATGTTACCTACTGGCTTCCAATAGGGGCAGTGTGGGCAATAAGGGTAAGGATAGCTACAGGCCCTCATTGCTTTGACCCTAAGTTCTTCCTCCCAACTCCTTTCAGTTGTTGGGGTCCCCAGCCATATAAGCTTGCTACCCCTACTATAAGGAAGGGTCTAAAATGGACTCATAGGGTCTCAGGCCGGGCATAGGCCCTGCCCCCATACCTTCTGCACTGGAGGACACCTGGGGCCAGAAAGAGCTGTCCCCAAGGGGGGGCACAGTAGGTGGCTTGGTCTGACCTTGGGAGGAAGAAGAGAAGAAATCAAGTCATTCAAGGGATGATGGCTCTTCCCTTCAGAGGCCCCTGAAAGAAGCAGCACTATAGGCTCCGTCTACACTGGCCATGAACCATGGTCCAAACTCACTAGAGAGGCAGCATCAAACTATTGCAGCTGCAGAGGATGTGCACACACTTGAAGCCTGCTGTGAGGAGGCCCCCATTCCTGAGGCCCTGTGGGCTTTGGATAGTTCTTCCTTCACCTAGCACTGCTTTCAAAACCCTTCCCTCTTTGTATGAAGCCTCAAGCTAATGCTGTGCTGGGGGACAATGTCCTGGCCAGTGTGATAGACACATTGAGAAAGTTCTAGCAGGTTCCCCAGAGTTGGATGTCTAATTAATTCTCCTTTCTGACTGTTGCCCTTCCACCTCCTTGGCTTGAGGATCAGGGACCTCATCACGAGTCACCAACTGCCCCATCCACAACACTCAGTTCCGAGAACTGAACACACAGCAAGGAGCACAGCGATCACTTTGCTACATTCAAAGGACAGAACTGGGAGAAGACTGTGGGGTAGGGTTCAGGGGAGGCTGATGTCTTCCCTACTGGAAAGCGATTTTTATTCGTGGTGGTTGATGGAGAAAGAAAAAGAAATTCTTCCAGGTAAAAAATGGCGGGAGGTTCCCAGCTGGGAGCCTGAAGCCTTCGGACATCAAATTGACATTAATATGGTATTCAGTGAAGAGACAAGGCCGAAGGACCCAAATTGGCAAGGGCTTAATTAGAGCCCTGGCAAAACCACCCCGAAGGCATCTTGCTTCTGAGCTCGGCTTCCCCAACCCCCTTGAGGAGGCTGGGCAGGATTAGGCTCTCTAGCCTGGCTTTCAGGAGAGCACTGTCTTCCAGACTGCATCTGGGTCTGGGGTTTCAAAACCCAGCTGGGCTGTAGCTAAAGAGGTCTGAGAACTTGGTGGAGGGTGCTGAGTCCAGGAAGAGAAAGCTTCTGGCTGCGTTTAGCTGCTCAGACATGCTCAGGCGTCCTGTGTTGTGTGCCAAGGCTAGACGGAGGGTGTTTTGGAACCAAGAACCCATGCTAGCTAGGTCTTAATGGTGGGACCACTTCTAAGCACCTGAGACTTCAGGGCAGTATCCCTGGATGGCATAGAGGACAGAGAGTGGATGGAGTGAGCCAGTCCTGTGCTCCTGCTTGGACTGTGGGTTTCCTGGGACCTTGGGAAGCTCTCTCTCTCTCTCTCTCTCTCTCTCTCTCTCTCTCTCTCTCTCTCTCTCTCTCTCTCTCTCAAAGATGACTTTATCAAGGTATAATTTGCATACTATAGATGCAGCAGCTTCTTCCTAAGCCTTCATCCTCTCCCACATTGAGACTAGGAAGATAACACTGTCCAGACAGACAGACACCTGCATGCAACTGGGATCCAGACCCTTTTAAGTATGCCAAGTGTCCCGGGGACTCTAAGCACAGGCCACACAGGAACCAAGGATGTCCTAGATGTAAAGTTGCAGGCTGCTGCCTGTTACCTTGAAGCTGCCTCCTCTCCTTCATGCTCAGCTATCCAGCGCAGGGCTCAGAACTGCAGATCTGACAGTCGTTGAAAGTTTGCTGTTGCTGCCTGGAAGATGGCCTTGTCTCCTGCTCACTAGCAAAGTCCTGGAGTCAGCCAGTCCTGTACCCCAGGGGGAGTTTTAGAACTCAGGCCCCACTTCTGGAGAGAGCTCACTGGGCCCTCTCTGCCTTCTCATATTTAACTTTCAACCTCACAGTCTGCCCCACACCACTTACACAAAGGCAGCTCCCAAGTGGGTTCATGGTTCTTCAGTACCTGACAGTCAGAGCCTGTCTCCCTCCCAGGTGGATCACTGGTCAGTAGCAGGCAGAACACCCCACCCCTTCCTGCTTATTTTTGCTCCCCTCTCCCCATCACAGGTTTGGTAAAGTCCAAAGGTCTCTGAAGGAGGCCCAGGCTGCTAAGCCTCAAAGCCCAGATTCCTCCACTTCAAAAGGACACAGAGGTTTCTCCTAAAAGTCTCCATCTCCTGGTCCAGCTCGTTACACAATTCCCCACAGAGAGGTTCAGGGAGAGCCCCTGTGGTGTGGTCCTGGGAAGGTGACTTTCTAAAGGCTATCTGTTGACCTAGAGAGGCTACTCTGTGGAGCAGACAGAGATAGAACAGAATGTGGAGTTGATCTCTTCCCCAACTGCTGGAGGGATCTCTATCCTCAGATGTCACCAGCTATGGGACAAGGAGTGTCTGAGCAGGGACAACGAATGAAAGAGAAGAAAGGTCTAGGCTATCCAAGGAATAAAGAGCCTCGGCCAAGTCTCCCCTGAGAGGGTTGAGGAGGAATGGGCTGTGGGAGCCAGGAGGAAGCTACTTGGCCACCATCTTGCTGGTACCATCTTGCTGGTACCCTCTGGCAGGAAGAATCTTTTTAGATTCCCAGCATCTGGAGTAGACCAGGCCTGGCGAGACTTTCCTAGGTGATCCAGAGGGCCACACCAGGATCCCACACCACGTGTATACACAAATCCTGCTTCAGGAGGGCAAACAGCCAGCCAAGTCTGTAGGCCTGTGTGTAGCTGCACACGTAGCCCCTTCTGTAAGGCAGGAATTTGGCCTGGGCCTCTCTCTCCTCATGATCTCCTCCACTAATCCAGCCCTGTTTTCCCACTGGCCAGCATCTGGACAGAGGACCCAGTAGGTGACCAGCTGGGGGTAGATTCTGAGCCAGCTCCATGGATGGACAACAAACCATGTGTGAGTGACAAGGCACCATTTCTGGCTGAATATCTGGGTGGACTTGCTGCCATGGGCACCTTCCTACAACGTTCCCAGTACCCTTGGCAACACTGGCCTCTGAGCCCTTCTTTACAGTGCTTGGAGGGACAAGCAGAAGACAATTCTGGGAGCTTCAGGAGTTGCCTTGGCTAAGACTCCCGATGGAATGGTTTCCTGACATGGCCTGGGGACCCCCTCAGCCAGTGCTTTTACGGGGCTAGATGCTAGCAGTTTCTACTCTAAGAGGCAAGCAAGTGTCTGCTCTCCTTGGGTAAGGGAGGCAAGAAGGGAAGGGGCAGGCATCCCTGGGTGTACTCTCATACCTACCTGTGGGCTGTGGGGTCCTTGGGGCTGTAGGGACTTGGAGAGTAGATGTGGAGGGGGTAGAAGTGATAGGGCCCCTCCTCGTGGCCTCAGTGGCCATAGGGGCTTTGGGGGCGGGGGTTTTTCTGGACCTGCTGGTACCTGGCAAGACATGGAGAAAGCAAGAAAGGGTGGGGTAGAGCATCTCAGAGAATCCTTCCCTTACTCTGATGTTGAGGCCAGTGATGCTTACAGAGTCCATTTTCCTTCTGCCCACTAGCATCCCAGACAGGGGTCAGTCTGGCTGAGACAAGACAGGGCAGGGTGTGTCCCCACAGAAACATGATGAAGTCCTTGGAGGCATCCTTAAGGCTTGGGGTCTGCCACAGTTTGACACTGACAAGTCCTTTCCTGCTGACTTTTGGGAGTAGTAGAAGATCCTTTGGGGCAGGGGGTGAATTTGCAATGTTTAAGTGAGATGCTACCGTGGCCTGTGTTGCACAGCCACCTGGCCCCACTACATGCTCGAAAGGACCAAGTGGATGGGAGTCGACAGGAACCTACTTCAGACCCCTTCACCACCCTTGGGATTTCTAAGACACCTGCACTCTTGCAGATGCCCTTCCCCAGCCTGACACGCCCCAGACATCAGAGGGTTGGCATCAGAGCTTGCCCCTCCAGCCTCGTGGCAGAGTAGGCTGGCTTTGGAGACTGCCTGGACAAGGTACCAAATGGTCAAACTCAGGGGATGGACACTGCCACTAGTAGAGAAGACCCCTATTTCTGGCTGTGCACGAAGGACAGAATGGAGTGTGAGGAGACAGGGCAGTCTGTCCACTCAGGGGTCAGGGATCCAAGTTGCACAAAAGCCCTGTCCTTCTTTCAAAGCAGCGTAAGAAAGCTCCTAGGAGACCTGAGGTGAGGTGGAGAGGCAGGTGGGTGTGATTAGGTGCAGTAGGGTACACAGAAGCGAGATAGCCCCGAGAGACAGCAGCCCCTTCATGCTCGCTCTCCAGGCTTAGCCGCAGAGTCTTGTACAGAGCGTGGTACTTACTGCCAAAGGCGGAGCCTGCAGCTGCACCTGTAGGAGCACAAGAGGGTTACAGTGTTAGACACAAGGCCTGGCCACCTCCACCTGGCACAGGAAGGGGGAGCCACAGAGGTGACCTCCAGGCCCACTAAAGGGAAGGAAACTTAGAGGGCCCGAGACTGTCCAGTCACAGGGGCAGCCTCAATGGGACCATACCTATGGGGACTCACGCTACTGACTGCCTGAAGGCTGCTTTTAGTCCAGTTTGTAGATGGGACATTGTAAACTGTTTCTTTCCCAGGACACTGTGACAAGTCCTCCCTCTTGTTTAACCTCAATCTTCAGGCTCCCTAGGGCAGTATAATGCCCTCATGACAGAGTTATCAGCGCGGAATTGGAGGTGTGGCCTTAGCCTTCTGGGAGACATGGCAATGGGAGAAGCTGAATCCAAGTCTCTTTAGGCGTTCTGTGCCTCTCTGGGAGAGGAAGCCTGGGTTGTGGTTTGATCGGGGATGCCACCATCCAAACACAGTCCCAGAGTAGAACTGTCACAGTCAAAGAAGGAAGGAGTCAGTCATAGCTTCACTCTAGGCGGTTCTGAGAAAGGCTTTACCCTAGGCAGGGACAGTGGGCTTGGTGGGCGGGACAGTGGGCTTGGTGGGCGGGGACAGTGGGCTGGGTGGGCGGGGACAGTGGGCTGGGTGGGCGCCATGGCTTTCTTGGCATCTACTCTGGGCTTACAGACCTCGACAGGTATTGTATGCGTGTAGAGACCTTGGGAGTTCGGGAGCTGAGAGCAAGGACTTATAGGTGCTGGGAGTGGGGCATAGGGGCAAGACTCCCTCAGAGTCTGCCCCTGAGGGAGAGGAAGGTCCAATCCCAAGAGACAGGGCACAGAGGATTTTGGCTTTAGGGAGACATGGAGGGAGGGGGTGAGGTGATCTCACAGAGGCCTTGTACTTGGGGGGACTGACAACTTAGGGTTTCATTCCCAAGGCTTTGAGGCAGTGGGCACCTAGGAGGAGGTGCTCCAGTGATTATGAACAGGAGGTCCATGAGAGGAGGGAGGTAGACGGAAGTGGGGGTTAAGGGACAGGCTCTCACAGAAGGGAGGAGACGACACACAAAAGCCACTCAAGTTTGTTTGTCTACTGCTTGGGCAGGCCATGGGGACAGTGGACCTGGGTGTTTTGCAGGTGGGAGTCTTGGTCCGTGATGGTGGAGGTGACAGTCAAGAGTCTGAGGAAGGGACCAGGCAGAAGTGCTGAGGGCTGGGTCTGGCCTTAGGACAGATGGAAAGGAGACAAGCCCACTAGTGAGAGACAGCAAGAACTAAAGGAAGGTTCAGGATACAAAGAGATGTGGAGAGTTACTCAGGATGAGGGAGATAGACAGGGGGCAGGCCAACAGCCTGCCAAGCCCCCTCTGTGCCTTTGAAGACCCTTGAGTGCCTCGAGGTGCCTGGCAAGTCACTTCTTCAAAGGCTTGTCACACTGCCTGCTGTAGCTCAGGCGCACCATGCCTGTTACCGGCTGCCTTGCCACAGCTTTTAGCTTTGATCAGTTTAAAGCCACATGAATCTTTTAGGGGTGAGGGAGGGGGCCAGATGGGACAAGGGGTTTAGGAACTACGTGAGCCCTGGTTTTGTCACTGGGTCTTGTGCTGTCTGGGACTGGCTGTGGAACCAGGAAGGCACTGGGCTGTCTGGGCCTCCGGGTACTCATCTGGAGGGTGGGTTAGTCACGGCACTCCTGTGGTATTGTAAGGACTCGGGGAAGTGACATTGTGACATCTGGTGCAGCCTCAGCTGCACAGGTCATTTAGTGTGTTTCGGGTGCCAGCCTAGGCTCTCCACTGCTCATGGTCTAGATCCTTGTGGGAGCTGTTCTGGGGATGGGGAGGTCTCTCAAAAGATGCTCATGATGCAGACATGTATGGACAAAACTCTCACATGCCTTCCCTTGATGGCTGAGCAAGGGGAGACAAGACTGGGCTGAGAACAGGGGCTCAGACCAAGAGTCACAAAGGACATAGCTACAAAATGTGAAAGCTCCACTGAGTGTTGGCAGCTGGGCTGCAGATGCAGTGCCAGATATGACATGTGACGTGTGGCATACACCTCATAAAACTCCTTAGGGTGCAAGGGTGCATTCACCGTACCCCGATTTCTGCATCTCCATGGGGTTCCTGCCTTTCTCTCAGAATGAAGAAGGGTGGCAGATAAGATTCTGAGAAGGGTTGGCCTGAATGCAACTAGGGCTGAAACAGCCTAGAAGATATGGAGGAGGGGAGCTGGAGGGGCAACATGTGTGTGTATGTATGCCGGCTGCCCCTTCCCCTCCTCTGTATGTGCACATGTGAACACCATGCTGGGGCACAGAATGGGAACTGCAGCTGGGCAGGCTACATACGTACAGGCATTGGGAGAGCCATGGGGCAGTGGCAGGTAGGAGCCAGCTCGCCAGGCACGTGTGCGGAAGTTCTTCTTGCACTTGCCACAGTCAGGGCCTGTGGTGTTGTGTTCACACTCACACTGCAGGCTGCCCTCGCGCACCGTGCACAGGTTGGCATGCAGGTTGCACTTACACCTGAGGAGACCAGAGGATGGGAGGAGTCAGCAAGGTCCAGGGCAGGCCTCTGGGCCTCTGGTGAAGTAGATAACTCTGGAGCAAGAGTGGCCAGGTGTGTGCTAGGATGTCCTAGGAGGGATTCTGGAGGCCAGTGGTCCATTGCACACTCAGACTCTCCTTCTGCACAAAGAGTCCAGACTCCCTCTCCCATAGTTTGGAGACATTTCCCAGCCAGGCAGCTCTGGACCCTGAGACTGATTCTGGTTCCCATCTGGCTGGGTTTCTAGACTTCTGCTCTTGGGAGGGGAGAGATTCCCTTATCCCAGATGTTTCAGCAACCTAACCACCTTAATACCTTCTTATTTTTATTTTTCCATTTTAAAAGAGATCATCTCACAAAGCCCAGGCTGGCCTTGAATTAGCTACAAAGCCAAGGATGGTCTTGAACTTCTGCTATTCCCACATTTACTCCCCAAGTGCTAGGAGTACAGGTATTGGTTATTTTAAAAAGTTAAGTGTGTGTGTGTGTGTGTGCGCGCGCGCGCGCGCGCGTGTGTGTGTTCCCATCCAGGTACACAAAGTATGCATGTGGAGGGCAGAGGACAACTTTTGGGAGGTAGTTCTTCCTTTAAACATGTGAACCCTGGGGAAGAAACTTGGGCCATCAAGTTTTAGGGCAGGTATCTTTACTAGCTAAGCCATCTCTCCAGTCCCACAGTCATTTGTGTGTATGTGTGTGTATGTGTGTATGTGAACGCGTACATACATGGGCATGTGTTTGGGTGTGTGTGTTGGAGATTGAACCCAAGGTTCCGTGCACACTGGGTAAACACTCGACCCACTAAGTCACATCCCCACACTCACCTTACCACTTAACTAAGGTGGGCAAGCAGGTGACAGATCGTGAACTGTGCCCCAGCACGTCCTGTGCACAGAGTCCTGGCTGAAAGCTGTAGACTCAGGCACTTGAGGGTGACAGAGAAAACCCCAGCTTCTCAGCCCCATCAGTTCACCCACACATGTATATTTACCATTTAGTCAAATAGTCATAGGCACCTCATCATTGTGCAAACTGGTAAGTAAAGGGAGAGGAGTAGGCATGGCTTCCACCTATCTTCCACAAGCTCTACCTTGGGGGAACTTAAAATTGATGAGGGCACATTCCTTTTTATACAAGCATTTCATAATAGAATTGGGGACTCCTAAGAATGGAGGGCTCTGGGCACTGAGCCATGACAGCCCAGAAGATCACAGATGACACAACCAGAGCAGAAAGTTTCTAGAGCACTCACACTGGTGTGGAACTTGAATTAGACCAAATCTGGGCCAACAACGCAGAGGACAGAGCAAACACTGAACACCATCAAGCAGGATGTAGCCCATACGGTGCTGGCTTGCACCTGGTTGCTTATAGGTGGATGCCAGAGGGTGCCAATTGGTGTGAAGGGAGAGGACCACAGCAAGCTCAAAGGCATGTCAATCCAGAGCCAAGTGTGCACCTGACTGGGCTTGGTGGAAACACACTCAGAGGATGCCAGTTGTACCATGGCAACTGATACTAAGGGAGTTTATGACATTAGTGTAATCAACTGTCACGATGCTGTTGCAAACTGGCTCTTTGAGTCTCTGTCCTTTAGAGAAACCCAGAAATATAAGTGCAGTTATAGGACAGTTGAGAATGGCTTTTTGGTTGAGACAGGGCCACACAGCAAAGGCACTAAGGAAAAGAGGACCCCAGATGGTAGCTGGAGTAGGAGGCGCTCGTTGTGTGGGTGTGGGTGTGGGAATGTGAAGTTCTTAGCAGCCCAAAGTTAAGGAGAGAGAAACCTGGACACAGTGGTCCACACCTGCAAGCCTTGGTGTTCAGGAGGCTGAGACAGGAGGATCTCAAGTTCCAGGTCAGCCAGAGCTATAGAAAGTTCCTGTCCAGAAAACTAAACCAAACCAACAAAATAAGTGGGGAGCAGGGAGGTGAGCCCCTGTGTGTGAACGAGAGTGTGCCTTATTCTGAGATGAGCAGACTTCCAAGTCACATTGTCACTATTTGCAAAAAGCAAATTGCGACTGGCATGCTGAGTGGAATCTTATTTTTATTAAAATATGCAAGGAAAATATTTATAGGGCACCAGTGACGTAGCAGGCTTTGAGGAGGGGGAGGGTTAATTAATTAGTAAGTTAAATGGTTAGCAAAGAAGATTAGGGAGGGGCTCTGCTCTGACGGAGCTCCATGGAAAACTTCTCCGAACCCAAATCTGCAGGACAATCTAGAAGCAGGGAATCTTCTAGAAAAAGCAAGAGCGTGAGGAGGTTCCTGGATGGAGAGAAAGCTCAGATGGTGGCAGCTGATAGCGCCTTACTGGGACACAATGGACTGGTTGACATTTTACAGCAGTATGGTTCCTCTGGGAATATGGGGACAAAGCCCAGGGAGGGTACCAGCAGACATCTTGGATCCCTGTCATACCTGGTGAACAACATCATACCCAAAAGACTATTGCTGGGATCTAGGGAGTAGCCTGCCAGGCCCCTGGGGTTCTATCTCCAGCATAGGGTTGGGGAAGATGTCTGCTGAGCCCTTTTCCCTCCCCATGCTGCCCCACCAACCTGGGCTGGGTGATGCTCTCTGTCCCCACAGCCTACTCCCATATTCTCCCAGAAGACCCATCGCTACTTGCCTCCTCATGCCCATATCACACATAGCTAACACCTCTTGTTGTCCTTCATTATGTCTTCTTGTCTCTGCCTCTCTCTTCCTGTGCCTGTGTCCCCTCACTAGAAACAGTCTCAGCAGGGAGTCTCATTTGGGGCAGAGATATGGGAGGCAAACCCCACTAAATATCCACTGTCTGCTGGACTGGTCAGGCTGTCTGGCTTCCATGGCCTCCTGTGTTCATGTTATCCTGATATATAAGGAAATTAAGGTACAAGAGACCCCCACTTAGTGTTTTCTCCCTCAATCTTTTGACTTTATGATGGAGCAGAAGGTAACCATTCTGTTTACACTCTCATACAGAACAAAATAAATAACACCAGCTATTCAAAAGTTTGTTATAAGATAAGCCACTAAGTGTGACATTTCTCCATAGCCACGGGCTAATCAGTGGGAATGTTGGGAATTCCCTTAAGGTAGTCTGTTATGTTTGGTAGATGAGGTTCTGTTGTAAATTAAAGTACTGTGCATCCAAGTGATGGAACATTACAGTCATGAGTGCATGTGCCCAGAGATACTTCCAGCTGGAGGGAATGTTTTGAATGTGGGGGCAAAAAGTCACAGTTCCTGAATGTTCTCATTCTACTCTCCCCTGTCTCAGCTTCCTCAGAGATGAGGACATGGACCCAGAATCCAACTTCAGATGTCACAAGGTCCACACAGAATAGAGCTTGGACCATGACAAAGGAAGATACTTGAGTGGACACAGTGAAGTCCTCAGTTCTATAGCCCAGTGGAGAGCTCATGCCTGTAATTGGCACTGAGGCAGGAGGATTGCCACAAGTCTGAGGCCAACTTGGGCTATGAAATGAGTTTCAGGTCAGCCCGAGCTATATTGTAAGATCCTGTCTCACCTTTCCCCAAATCTCTCTCTCTCTCTCTCTCTCTCTCTCTCTCTCTCTCTCTCTCTCTCTCTCTCTCTCTCACACACACACACACACACACACACACACACACACACACACACACTGGTACCCTAAACCCCTAAAGAAAGGCAAGTAGTGGAGAGATCGGCAGGATTACGAATGATTTCTGCTTTCTTCTATATCAGGTTTTTCCCCTTGACATAGTCTTGTGTATGCCAGGCCTCTGACTCCTTAAATATGACCTTAAAATTTTTATCCTCCTGCCTTTACTTTCCTTCACCTCTGGAGGGCTGGGATCACAGGGCAGAACCAGTACCTGATTTGTGCAGTGTAGGGAATGAAAGCGAAGCTTCATGCTTAACAGGTGAGCACTATACTTGCTGTTTCACATCCTAGCTTTTAGGCTCCCTAGGTTCACACTGACAAACTCCTTGGCAGAGCAGAGAATTTGGGGGTGGTATGGTAATGCTTTTTCAAATGATCTTACAACATGAATCACATGGGACACATTGGTCCAACCCCTTCTAAGGTCCAGACTGGTTTGTATCATAGCAGTGGGGATTGTCTTGAATGTTAATGGATATAGAAGGCTCCATCTATAGTGGACAGCACCATTCTAGGTGGTCCTGAGCTGTATAAGGAAGCTAGCTAAGCATGAGCCTGCGTGAGCCAGCAAGCATCCTCCTCCACGGTTTCTGCTGTACTCCTGTGTCTGTGCGCAAGTCCTGGCTGGAGGTAATGCTGTGTGAAATAAAAAAGCCTTCACTTTGAGTTTGCACTCTCTTAATGATGAACTGTGACTTGGAAGTGTGAGCCAAATAAATCTTTTCCTCCCCAGGTGGCTTTGGGTCTCAGTGCTTTATTACAGCCACTGAGAGGACAAGACACTGTGATAGCAATGTTAACTGGCAACCTGACAGGATCTGGAATCACCGGGGGTTCTGGAAATGCCCCCCAGGCATTGGGGTTGATCTTGATTGCATCAATTGAAATGGGAATACCTGCCCACTGTGGGTGGCATCATTCCCTGGCTAGGATCCTGAGAAATGGAGCTGAGCTGTAGCATGCTTTCATCTTCTTTCTCTCTGCTTCCTGACTGGATGTCACATGACCAGCTGCCTCGCCTTCCCTGCCATCATGCACTGTCCTCTTGACCGGTGGATCAGGATTAACCTTCCCTTAAGTTGCTCTTGTCAGTGTGCTGTCACAGCAGCAGAAAAGATGCAGAGACAGATGTCATTACACACACGGTCCTGTAGCTAGCTTGGCCCTGGCCTGTCACTGCATCTCTGAGCTACAGAGTGGAGCACAAAACAGCCAGCTGGCCCCTCCAAAGGCAAAGAGGTGGATGGCAGGTACTAGCTGGCATTGTAGGTTCTACTTCTTGGGGATACTAGGCCCCAGGAAATCCATGTAAAGGAAGGTCCCATGCCTGAGCCTCT